CCACGCTCGGCGCCCTTATCCTCGCCGAGATTCTCGACGTCGGCGCGAGGCCCGGCCGCGGGCTCGCTCTGCGCATCGTCGTCCCCGCGCTGCTGCTCCTGCTGGTCGGCGTCGTGCCCTGGCTAGAGTGCAAGTCGCTCGTCAATGGCGCCGGGTGGAGTCTGGGGCGAAGAAGAAGCGCACCGAGCGCCGGCGGTGGCGGCGGTAGCAGACTGCCCAAGCGCGCGTGGCTCATGCAGACTGTGCTCTTTTCGTGCTGGCTGTTTGCGTTTTGGAAGCTCGGCAGCGCTGTGCCATCGACGGCTGTCGAGGACTGGCCGCGCGGCGGCGCGAGCGGGGCTTCTTCTTCTCCTTCTTCTTCTGCTTTCAACAACGACGACGATGAGGCGCCGCTGCAGATGCTCACTCGCGGCTGTCTGGAGCGCATCGGTGTTGTCGGCATCTCGCTCATGGGCCTGCTCGCTGGCTTCGCCTCCGTGTCCGCGCCATGGCACACCTGGACTTCCGTTACCGACCGCCGCCGCCGCCCCGTCACCGATGCCGACGTCAACCGCAAGCAGACGGGCCTCGACGCCACCAGCGAGATGCTCGTGACGAAACGTCACCGCCTGCAGATGCTCGAACGCAAGGCCGCCGCGGACCTACCACGCTCCACCTCCACCGCCGCCGCCGCCGAAGCGAAAGCCGCCACGGGGCTCGTGGGCAAGATGATGGGCTCTCTTCGCGGCGCCGCCGGCGCTGGCTTGTCTGCCGAGGAGGCCGAGATGCGCAGCCTGCGTGTCGACATTGCCGGGCTGGAGACGATGGAAGCCAACCTGGCATCGAGCCTGGCCCTCGTGCGCGGGCGCCGCGCGGCCGACTCGCGCGCCGCCACGGCCTGGGGCCGCATGTGCCTCGTGCCGTCGTCTCTGTTCGCGTGCTACTGCGTGTACCGCGTCGCCGCCACCACCCTCACCACGCTGCGCCGCTTCCGCGCGCCCTCGGCCAGCTTCTCCAGCAGCGACCCCATCAACCGCTTCCTGGGCCTGCTCGCGCTGCACTGGGACCCGACGCTCGACCAGACGGCCTGGGCGCGCATCATCAGCTTCGTCCTGTCGGGCGTGCTCCTGCTCGCGAGCGCAAACAGCGCGCTGCAGACGTTCCACCTGTTTGCGCGGTGGACACCCGGGCTGCTGCGCCACGCGCAGGCCAACCTCGCGCTCGTCGTCGGGCAGGTCGCGGCAACGTACATGATTAGCGCGTCGCTGCTGATGCGCAGCCAGCTGCCGCTCGAGGCGCGCTCGGCGGTGGGCGGCGTGCTCAAGGGCGCGCTGAGTCCCGTGTTTGTGGACGGCTGGTTTGAGGGATGGTTTTTGACGGGCAGCGCTGTGACGGCGCTGGGTCTCTGGCTGGGACGGCGGCTGAGCGGTGGACGGGACGAGGATTGGGATGATTATGGTAATGAGGAGATGGGGGCCAAGAGAATGTAGAGGCCCGTGGCAGCATAGACAGCGTTTTTGGGAATCTTTTTGATCATCTTTATTATCTAGGCATGGAATCCTAGCGTTTTTTTAAACAATGTATATTAAGAGCTTTTTCACCCATAATTCACTTTGTTGAAAACAAATACCCTTTTACCGTCTGGTTAGCATAAGCTCTCTGCCTGGTGTTGCATCTCCCACCTCTAGACATTTTATGCTCCATTGTTCTCTTTTGCCAGACTCTTTTCATACACACGAAACCCATCCAAAATCGCCCTCCGCACGCCATCACTCACAAAGTCCATTGTCCTGCGCCCCTTCGTCCCGTCGCCCTCTGGCAGCTCGCCTCTTTGCACATCCTCCTCCGTCACCCACGCCGCCTCGCCATGCTCCTCATCCCTCAGCACCACCACCTCTTCCTCACCACGCACCGCCGCCGCCGTCGTCACCAGCGCCGTCACTTTGCCCCACAGCCTGCCCGTCTCCTCAAACGTCACCGTCAAGCCGTCGGCGTCGACGCCGAGCCCCTCGTCCTGCGGCTGTATGCCCAGCCCTGCGCGCGTCGCCTCGGTCAGCGGCTCCTCGGGCACCATGACAATCGGCGCGACCATGTGCGCGGCCGTCAGGCCCGTCTCCTCCCAGAGCTCGCGCGCCACGGCGTCGAGAATGGTGGCGTCGTCGGCGTCGACGCTGCCGCCGGGAATCTCCCACTTGAGCGGGTACGAGTCGGTGGCGGCGCGGCAGAGGAGGAGAGTCTGCGGTGGCGAGGAAGAGGAAGGGGAAGAGGAGGAAGAGGAGGAAGAGGGAGAAGAAGGGTTGGGGCGAAAGACCATGGCGGCGGCCATGACGCGCGCAATGGGAGGGTGGGCGGCGATAAAGGCGGCTTTGGATATGTTGAAGCGCGCGAGGGAGGCGTCGAATGTATAGTTGGGCACGGCCATGGTGTGGCAAGCGTAGGGAGACGGGAGACGTGGTTTAGACTGTGTAAGTGGGAAAGAGTTTTTTTTTTTTCCTTTTTTTTTGGGGGGGGGACCGTTGCGTTCTCTTTGTGTGAAATGGCGAGTAAAAGTTTTCTCGTGATTGGGGTTGCTTGAAGTTGTGGTTTGTTGTTAGGATGTGTCATTTCACATCGTCAAAAGCCGCAGTCGGTCCTGCCTTGTTGGAGTGGAGTCGACAAGGCATCAATGATTTATCAGGGTCGATCCGTGCACTCGGCGCTGAAATGAGCCCAGTTGGCTTGACGGTTCTCTATTCTCGAATAATATGTTATCCCTGGGCGGCACTGTTTCAAGTACTTGCACGCAGAGCGAATTTGCTAGGTCTGGTTCTCATTCTTTGATACAAAAGAGCGAAACTATTAGTCTCTGCTATAGCAAAGCGCTACTTTTAGTTACAATTCTCAGACACAGTTTGTATACAAATTCACTTCTGGGGCATTGGCCCAAAAGTATAGCTACCACCCAATTGTTGGCAGAATTGCGTCGTAAATTGTCGAGTCCCCTCAACAGAGCCTTTCAAACTTTCATCGCAAAAGAATGCCAAATATCCGACCTTGTGACAATCTTTACCGGGTGATGAACGTCGGAAAGCGTCAATCTCCATCTCCTCGATACCAGCACAAGTGAACAGCATATCCACTGTATCCCCTCGAGCATTGTCAGCCCGAAAGCGATACTGTATCTCAGCAGTTGTGGTGTAACTCTCTGATCGCTGCCGAACTGTCTTGTCCACAGAACATAGCCCACTCTGACGATCGTATATGACAGGCTGTGCCATCTTGTCCCAGTTGCAAATCGATTCGTCCATCTTGGCTGTGCCACCACAGCTTCGCAAAGCCGTCCGACAAAGACCACCGTTTGCTGGGTAGGTCTTGCACTCGGAAGTACTACACATCTTGGCAGAACACTGTTTCCGTTCATTGGCAGTGCATGGCCTCTCGCAGTATGAGCCCAAGGGAGAATGCTTGGCTTCAAGGACGGACCGCTCATATCCCGAGGCGCATTGAGCGGATCCAGTAGTGTAGTAGTTTACACATGGATCATATGCATTGCATCGCGTGCCACTTTCTCTCCGCTGAATGGTTGCCAAGGAGGCGGCGCAAGATTTCCAGGCGAAAATGGAAATCGTAAACATGATGTATGAATGGAAGTTCATGATGAGTCAATGTTGAAATTATGTTGAAGTAGTTTTGATATGAGTTGCGTTTAACGATTGAAGGTGGTTGATGTAGTATAAACCAGAGGAAACAGGTGATTGTCTAAAGGTAGTATAAGATAGGTCTCTTTATAGTATTGTATAATAAGTTGATAAAAATATTTGCTAATCATGTGCTGTCGTTTTCTCAGTCGGGTCCTACCATTGACTGAGAAAACTTGCTGGGTTCCATACAAGACACGGTAAGCATACAAAGGCACAAGAAAACTAAGACACAGGATAGTAGGACATGGCAGAGTAGGAAATGGCATCAAAAGACGCAGTATAATAATACCTAATTCTACTTTCGAAAGGACACGAGAATCTCACGCTTTGGCCACTAGTAAGATGAAATCAGCTTCGACATTTTACGCTTACCACCGATAGGTTTCGGAGAGACAACAACAGCTTTCCGCGACTTGAATTTAAAAGTGACATATTCAGCTGCGCTGTGTTTAGCTGTACTATGTATTATTTCCTACGCCGTGTTTTATTGTGCCCTGTTGTAACAAACACCTGTAATGTCATACTATAGCTGTTGGGCAATGCGACGCATTCTCTGCGTGGCCAGTACTTTAAGCTCAGACGACTGCACTAGGCGAGATTCTAAAGTCGGATCTGTCCAGTGACCTCTGTACGATCTCTTCTATATGGAAGGCAGGATCGTCGGTCAGTTGGTCACACGACTAGATTACGACGCTGTTTAAAGTGCAGCATGGTTTGAGCGCTGCATAGGTTCGCAGAGACAATTTTTGCGCCGGAGATCCTTTTTCTTTGGCATGGGGAAAGTCTGGTCTGGTCTCAGGCTGCTTCGCCCCTCCCCACCTTGATATGAAAACTATTGAAATGCACCCGCGACATTTCGGGTTTTTTCGGTATCCAATAAAACATACAATGGACGCAAATGTGACTCAAAATGACTACATGTGCTCGTGTATAGCATCGAAAAGATCTGTTGGTGTACACCAACCCACGTCATCATCAAATCATTTACCGAATTGAACACCTTTGAACCAACGCCTCTCAACAAAATAAAAAAAAAAAAAGAAGAAGAAAAAGAAAAAAAAAAGAAAAAGAAAAACTAAAAGAAAAGAAGAGAAAAGAAAAGAAAAGAAAAGAAAAGAAAAAACCCAGTCTTTGCCATTTAAACAAAGGTGCCCCTCTCAGGCCCAAAGTATCCGCGTTCTGGAATCGGCAGAATACCCTTGTTGCTTCCGTCGACGCCCGCGCCGCTCACCGTGTTTCCCCACCACTTGAGAGGATGCGGATGGTAGCCAATGGCGAAGAACATGACGAGCGCGCTGACGGCCAAGCCAGCGGTAAAGGCCGCCGAGAGGACATAGTTGTACTTGGCCCACCAGGCGAGGCGGTGGCGCGGGAGCCAGTACATGAAGACGTACGACAGTATGAAGCCGGGCGTCTTGTAGCTCAGGTTGGACGGCGCCCAGTGCTGGATGCCCTGGATGATGAGGACGGGATTCAGCCAGAGCAGCGAGGCGATAAAGGGAAACAGCGTGCGGTCCAGCATGGCAAAGGTGTTGGGCCGCAGCTTTTGCCGCAGCTTCTCCCTGACGCCCGGGAGGTATTTGGGGCCCTGGCCCTGGGCGACGAGAAACACCATGGCGATGCCGAAACCCATGAGGAAACACCACTTGAAGAGCGGGTAGAGGGAACCAAACATGCGATCGGAGCCGAGCAGACCCCACATGAGGGAGCTCGCGTACATGGGGTGGCCGTCGCCCATGCAGGTAAACTGCGAGGGCTGGTGCTCGGTGCAGAGCCCCGGGACGCTGGTGAGGATAAAGTTTTGGGTGCCGACGGCGACGAAGCAGGTGATGATGATTGTGCCAATCTGGGAGCGAAAGACGGCGCGCGGCGCAATCTTGCAGTAGTGGGCCATCTTTTGGTCCTGCACGTAGTTGTCGCCGTAGCCGGCGAGGGCCCAGGAGCCGAGAGCCTGGGAGAAGAGAAAGGCGTTGGGGTTGTCGGGCAGCAGGTAGCCGGTGATGATTTGGATGAGGGCGCCGAGGCCGAGGTTGGTGCCGGTCGTGGCGGACAGGAAGGAGAGGGGCACGGCGAAGACGAGGTTGATGGCGATGAGGAGGAAGACGAGCCAGACGGGGATGCCGAGCGGGTAGATTTCGATCCAGACGACGGACAGGGCAATGGTGACGGCGAGGATGGCAATGAACCACCAGTCGGGCACCTCGTTGTACTTGCGCATGGTGCGGTTGTGCACGTCCATGGCGTCCTCGTAGTTGCCCTTGCCGTGGCGCAGGCCGCGGTAAAAGTCGACGTAGGCCTTGGACATTGTCTTCCACTGATTGACCATGATGTAGAAGAAGTAGACGGGGTAGAAGCAAAAGTTGGCGCCCACCGTCAGCACGTAGCCGGCCGAGTAAAACGGCAGCGAGTACGCCTGCAGCTTGGCGCCGTCGAGCTTGTTGTCGACGACGACCTTTTTCACGTCGTATATGGTGCCGTCATTGGCAAACGCGGCGGCCGAGTTGATGGGCAGGTACGCCGTATTGTACATGTTGGAGTAGTAAATGGCCAGGATGACGAGGCCGCCGAGAATGGCGCTCAGGTACATGGTGCAGGTGGCGAAAAAGGGCTGCGAGAGCGCCGCGTACGACGACGTGGCCACGTTCCAGTCAAACGTCGTCAGCGGGTTGAACAGGCCCAGGCCGAGCCGCGAGCCCGTCAGGATGGCCAGCGTCAGGTTCTGCGGCGCGATCCACGTCATCCAGTTGAACGTCGAGAGCGCCTGGAAGAGGTAGCCCGGGATCCAGTAGTAGACAAACATGCCGGCGGCGCACACAAAGAAGAAGCGGTACCGCGAAATGGTCCAGCCGTTGATGTTTTCGCGCGGCTCCGGCTTGGTCAGCGCTCGGTTCATGGCAATGATGGGGAGCAGAGTCGGCCACAGCGCCTTGACGGGGTACACGCTGAATCTGCGCAGGTAGCCCGCAAAGCCCATGCCCATGAGTTGGATAAAGAGCGTCAGTAGCAACTGGTAGCCAAAAGTGACGAATCCTAGGCCGTAAAAGACGGGAGAGCGCTGGACAAGAATCATGGTATAGGCGTTGGTGCTGTATATAGCTATATTGTAGGTTATTGTACTGTACATTTGCTCTTTAAAGGTCCAGGGTCCGGGGTTAAGCGAGTGTCGGGTTCCAAAGACTGTGATGCCCCAGTCGGGTAAGATGGCTTCGAGAGTCTTTGCGCAGGGAAAGAGCATGATTTGAATGACGGCACTTCCCAGGCCTGTCTCTTCAGTTAATCAACTATATACATCACTGATGGCACCCCCTCAATTGGAGTATCATGTGGTGCGAAATGCGACTTACCAATACCAGGAAAGCGGCTATTAAAGAATGTGGCCATGAAAGTCCCAATAATGGCCCAGCCAACTCCCAGAAAGTAGGCACGAATCGTCTCCACGGGCACATCGTCATCATCCAGCGGGCTGGCGACGGCGCGCACGCCCGGATACGGCGACGAGTACTTCATCATGACGGCGTCGATGCGCAGGTCGCGCTCATACCACTCGCCATAGATTTTTGGTCCTTGCAGGTACTTGCGCATGCGCTCGCGCATATCGGCGGGGAAATTCCAGTCGTCCGAGTGAAACTCGTACGACTCTTGGATGATGGCGAGGGCCTCGTCCTCGGACATGTGGTTAATCTTGTCGCGAATGTAGTCGGCCTCGCCGTTGGGCGCGAGGCCCTCCATCATCTCGTGCGGGATCTGGTCGGCGTAGGGCACGCCGCCGACCGAGGCGTGGACGCCGTGCTTCTCGGCGTCCGGCGAGGGCGGCGGGAGCGCCTCGACGGCCTCGTGGACAGAGCTGGTGGCCTTTGTCATGATGGCTCCCGTGTAAGTAAGACCCGCTCCACGTTTGGAGGGTTCTTGTCAGTGACGGGTAAGATTTGGAGAGATGAGTGCCAGAGAGGACGAGAGGGGAGGAGAGGAGAGCCGTTGGGCTGGGGATGCGGGCCCCGACTTCCTCTTGTACATGGGAGGAAGCGTTGTCTCACTCGCACAACCCGCCTCGTTGTACTGGTATAATAGAAGGAAGCATGAGCGGGGGAGAGACGAGGCTAAAAAGGCTGGGGGGGAAAGCCTCAAAACACCCCGGCTTTCGGGGCAGGGCTATGGAATACGGTGTAATAGAATGGCTGCATTTATTGATGCTTTTCCCCCTCTTGTATCCACACCTTGGGTTTGCCGTCGGTTGTGCATGGGGAACTGTGAGGACATGTATGATAACGCCGGGGCTATTTAGAGGGCTGAAAGTAAAACGGCCATCTCGACGAGACAACGCCTACAAAGTCATGTACATCGGTCGCGAGAATGACACCTAGTTGTATTTATAAAGTGGCATCAAAGACGGAACATGCAAAAGATTTTGGGCTCGAGACATTTTCGTCTTAGAACCTGGGGTTCCCCGGACTCTGTGCCGATACGGGGCCGCTGTAATAAGAATAAGAGCGAGCAAGGGTCAAACCCCAGCTTTTCATGTAGCCTGTGGTGCCTGTCTCAGAGAAGCCAGCCGGGGAAATGGATAATACAGGTGGTGATGGCGAGCCCATCTTGACTTGAAGACTCACCATGTCTCTCCTTATGTGCTCCCAGTCACCTTGTCAATCTTTAATCCTTTTTAACCGAGGGAAGCAACAGCCCATTCCGTGTGGGGGAACCCCGTCCTGCGACTAATACAGATCCTCTTTCCAATGTTTCCCTCCCCATCATCCATGTCAAACCCCCCCAACTTTCAAGCCTGCGCCTTTCCTAACAAGGAAGCTGGACAAGTTGCGCTAGTTGGCGTAGCTTGCTGGCCGAGAGTCGGATAGCACAGCGGCAGAGATTCACCCAATTCGTTTTTTTTTCTATCTTTTGGACGATGAGGGGTAAATTGGGTTTTCTCCTGCTGTTTATTGCCTAGCCTTCTCTATAATTTTTTTGAACTGGATCGAGCCTCGTCTCGTATCATGGTGGCGTAATAACTAACGGATGGTTAGTTTGAGTTGGTGGCATCCCCGCGTGATCGAGTTGCTGCACCTCATCGGCTATTAGTTGGAAAATGCGACCAGTTGTCAGCTTTCCCCTCATTGCCTTTTTATTTCTGCTATTGAATAATATCTATAGTCTGCCCGAGTATGACTTGGCGCAATCAGCTTGCCGTGTATGCCAACTAGACGACACAGCTCTGGGCAAAAAAACACATCATCTCGGCTCGATCCGCTAAAATTTCTCCAGCCTTTATTAATAAATGACTAGTTAACTAGCCCTTCTCGCGTCTTGAATCCTGATTAAACCCATCCCATCATCGCCCGCCCGTCTTGGCCGTCTTGTTCGCCCGCACGCACGCCTCAACGCCACCAACGCCACCAACGAGCGACTCCATATTTTACTTGGCTAATACTTTGTGCATGAACAACATCGTCAGACCATGTTTGCAGGACCAAATGACTTGTAATCGCCGCTTCTGGTCGACAGTGTAGGACAAGGTTTCTTTTGCTTTCTTACCTTTTTTTTTCTTCTTTTTTTTTTACTCTAAAAGTTCGTTACAAAATGCAACGACACCACCCAAGTGCCTATACATTAAGCGAATAGTGTAAAAGAATACAATGCAACTGGTGGAATCAACCATCTCAAAACGTTCAAAGCTAAAGAAAGAAGAAACCAAGACAAACAACCCGATTCTAGCCTAGCCAACATCTTTAACAAGAAGCCTACTTGTTGCTAAAAAGCTGAGCAAACCTCTCCATGTCCCGAATCGATTCCTTCGAAACAGTAGGCCTCATCCTCTGCAGCGCCTTTTCGAAAAGCGCCTTTGTCAGGCAGACCTTGCTCAGTCTCTCCATGTACAGCGCCTCAATCTTCTCTTGCTTCTCTCTTTCTTGCTCTATTTTTTGTCTTTCAACCTCCCGCTCCATCTTCCTCTTCTCCCTCTCCTTTCTCCTCTCCTCCCTCTCCTTTCTCCTCTCCTCCCTCTTCTGTCTCCTCTCCTCCTTTCTCAGCTCCTTTGCCAATCTCTTGCTCTTTTCCGCGGCCGTTTCATTCGTCGGGGCGTCTCCAGTCTCATAAACGTCCATCTCATGACCCTCTCCACCAGCTTCGCCCTCGGGTGTGGCTTTGTTCATCGCCTCGCTGCCAGCAATTACGTTTTCAGAATCCAAGTTGGAGGCGTCTCTCATCGTACCATGTCCTGTTTCGGCGGCGGACGTGCCAGTCTCGGCGGAGCTATCTGCTCTTGTGAGTCTCACGGCTTCAGCTTCAGCTTCGGCTTCGGCTCTCTGTGCGGCCTCCTTGGCGTCTTTCTGGCTCATCTCCAGTACCCAAAGTAATGCAGCCTCTGCGCACACGCTCTTGAGGTCAGAACCCGAGTATCCATCCGTCAAGGCTGCTAATTCGTCAATGTCGACATCTGGGCCGAGATCGTCTTCGTTAAGCAAGACCCTCAGGATCTGCGCTCGTGCGGCCGTATCTGGCAGCTCAAAGTAAATCTTTTGGGGCAAGCGGCGTAGGAAAGCCGTGTCCAGATCACCGGGACGGTTCGTGGCAACGAGAACAAACGGCGCCCCGGGCTGTCCTGCCCCAAGTCCATCCATCTCTTGGAGGAATTGCGTGAGCGCAGAGCGCTGCCACGAGTGGTCGCTGGATGCGCGTCGGTAAAACAAAGCGTCGACTTCGTCGAGAAAAATAATGCATGGCTTCAGCTTCCGTGCCAGAGAAAAGGCTGCTCTGATGAATTTTTCAGTCTTGCCCACATACTTGCACTGCAATGCAGCGCTGTCGAGAGCCAGCATACTGCTTCGCATGCTGTTGGCAATGGCCCGGCAGAGATGCGTCTTTCCTGTTCCGGGCGGACCGTACAGCAAAGCGCCTGAAATCTGCACACAAGATAACAAATGCTTCGATTTGGCCTCAGTCTTCATTTTCGAAAGTTGGACAAGCTGTCTCATCATTTCTTTAATGTCGCCATTCACGATAACATCTTCATACTTTGTATTTTGAAGCTCTTCGACTTTGATGACAGAGGAAAGAAGTTGCGACTCGTATTTGTCCGTCTCGAATTTACGTGAAGGCTCACATACATCGATCTCTGAGCCGCTGTCTTGGTCATCGTCACTGACGACGCTGGCGCTTTCGGTATCGCTCTCTTGTTCCTCGGCTTTGAATGCCTTTCTTTCAGTTTCGGTGCTGATGAGGACTTGAGATACCACTTGCTCAATGTCCTCGAAAGTCAGTTTCCGCCCACCGAGAGCTCTCCCCTTGATCTGCGCAGCCATTGAATCCAAGAGCTCATCAGTCAAACTTATGTTGCAAGATGCTATAGCACGGTCAAAAGTCCATCTTGTTCTAGGAAGCAATATTTCCGAATCGAAAAATTGATAAGAGCCCCAACGAAGCTGGAACTTGAGCTTATTGACAAAGTCGGTCGAATTGATGTCATCTGGTTTTTGTGCGGGCTCTGCCGTGACAGGCACACCGACACATCTGATTGTGAAGACCGCAGAAGAGACAACTCCAGTCATTCGAAGCACGTAGCATCTGGGCCAACCCGGAATGACGAGAATGACGGGCTTACCAGCTTCTCTTGCTTTTACAACACAATCCCTGAGTCTAGCAAAGACAAAATCACCATCCATCTTGCCCTGAAACTCGTGAGAATCTGCGATATGAACAATCAATGGCTGATCAATAGATCTTGTAGAGGTCCCTGTTTCATGACTCTGATCGAGTCTCCCGCCATTGGTGTAGCCGTCTTGAGCACTGAGAATCGCCGCAAAGGTGTGCCTCCATCTTCCGCCGTCGGCGATTGCTTTGCTCGACTTTGAGAAATAACGGAGCACTAAACGATGAGCTGGACAAGTTCGAAAACAAGATAAACTTGTTGGCGCATCCTCTTCAGCTTTGAGCAAAGCTCGCTGGGTCTCTGCGGGCGTCTGGTCTTCGAATGCCGCAGCCAGCGCCTGAAAGTCGTGCAGGGTCAAGGTTATCAACGCGGCACCGAGCTCTTTTGCCAGGGCATCCAGGTATTCCGGAATCATGGGGAATCTTTGATCTAATAAATACGAAAGGATGGCGCCAATGTTGTATGTCGGAAACTCGCCGTCGGCGTCGCGTACGAGGCAAGAGGCCAGAGTGTCTCGCACCGACAAGAAGGTCTGACGGCATACTGTGAAAGCTCCATCTTGTCTGCCTGGGCAGTTTTTGTTGTTGGGCAGTTCCGAGAAGACGAGCTTGGGTTCAGTGGCAGAGAGCTGCGCTGCTGTCTTGACGTTGTCTGAAACGAATCAGCTCGGGATCGAGTACTCGGGAACCTCCAAGGCAGAGCTATCATTATTTTGTCCACTTGAATCGGCGGTTTGGACTGGGTCCGTATCGCTTGAATCGGAGGTTTGGACTGGGTCCGTATCGGGGTTTGAGGCCATAGCGAGATCGAGCAGTCGTAGTAGGCAATCGTCTTGGGAAAACTCGTATTATTGAGGTGCTCCATTCGAAAGAGGATGAGAGTTTCGTTTTATACCCCAAGCTTAGTCACTTTTCGTGAGTGCTCACCTGTTTCCCTTGTTCGTATAACCTTGTTTCGGGTGATTGTACAGTGAATGACATCTGAGTTGTGACTTGTATGCAACACCAATTTCTGACGGCACGGCGGGTACCTCCATCACAGATAGCAGGTAAACGGCACAGCTCTGCGAGAAACATTTTCACCGTGACAGAATCCGTTGGTGCCAACGCAGTGTGACTAGGTTCTGTTTAGGCAGCCATGTCTTGGTGTGGTTTGAATGTGTCACAACTTGGAAGCACATGTAAATTAAATGAACAATCCCGCTCCGATCGCGGTCATGGCCATGTTCAGTTCACAACCGACGGGTAATTTCTGGCAGAGATTAGCAAATGCCAGCAACGCCGCCAACAAATGCTTCGTTGCACTCCTTTGCTTGCCGCAATATAATCCATAACCCTTTCATTATTTCAAGGCCTCGTAGAAGCAGGTCAATCTTGCCTGCTACAGTGCCCTCCCAAAAGTAACACTAAAAGTTTAAAAGTAACCTAGTTTCTAATATTAAATATTACTATTTACCTATATAGCTTAAAAATATATATTAAATAAAATAAAGAACTTATTTATTTAATTAATATGAAATAACTTATTTTAATTAAATAACTATTTTAATTAATTAATTATAATTATTTTAAAACTCTTTATTAAATTAAAAAAAGACCTTTTTTATAAACTTAGATTATTAGTTAAGTAAAATATTATATATTCCTAAAATTTAATATTATAAAATTTAACTTATAAATTACTAAAAGAAAGTAATTTATAATTAAAAGCTTATTATATTTAAAAGTGTATAACTATCTTTAAAATACTAAAATAGTTTATTTTAAAAAAATACTATTAGTTTTATAACTTTATTTTTCTTCTTAAACTGGAATATTTATTATATTTTATTTATATAATATATATATTTAAATATTAAAGTTTTCTTATTTTTAATAGCCTTTTTATATTATTTATCTTTAATTAGGTATAGTTCTTTAAAGTTATTTTTATCTCTCTAGGGTAGTACGTTGTTTTTTTTTTCGGGTCACTTTTGGGTAGCCACTGTAGCTCACCAACCAGGGCGCCCAGTTGACAGGCGCTGCCGCATCTTGACGATGCACACTGTAGGCTTGAAATAAAAGTCGATGTAACTTGATCTGCAATTCAAACTATATCCAAAAAATTGCATGCTGTCCCATGGAAATTCCATCATATTAAATAACCTTGTGTGTGGCTTTCGGCCCCCCATTTCCCCTGTCAATCGCCAAAAGTCATGGCGGTCATCATGGCGTCACTGCCAGAAATGGCTTGGCCTGGACTAAGAAGTCACCAAGGCGGCAAGGTCTTACCGTCTGAGCGAAAAGCTTGTTACAGCCGTTGAAAATGGAACAGTTGTTTGGCACAGGTATACGTCATTGAAGTCTTGTGAGCTCCGCCGTTTTTATTCGCTCAATCGCCATAAATAGAGCTTCCCAAGCTTCCTCTCTCTCTTTACGCACCTTTCTTGCGAGCTATTCCTCATCTACTGTACCACCACTTACAAATACCTCCATCACCACCAATTCCTCACGATGCTCTCCTCTACTAGATCCGCTGCTCCCCGCGCTCTCCGCTGCAGGTCAGCTCAACTTTCCAGGCAAACACGGCCACAGATTCGTCTTCAATCGACCTCGGCCTCGACCTCATCCACGTCGCAATCCCATCTGGTCTCTGGTATCGCTGGAGGCGTCGTCGGCGCCGTTCTCTTTTACGGCGTTTACAGCTTCACACCAGCCGGTCGCACCGCCAGCACAATCAACAAGGCTGCTGTCGAGGCCAACAAGCAATACAAGGCCGCCGCAGCCAAGCTCCAAAAGGCCACGCCGGAGCCCGATGAGGCCATCAGCTACATCAAGGACCTGGCCTACTCATACGTAGCGTGGATTCCCGGCGGCCGCAGCTATGTCGACGCCGCCTTCAAGGACGTCGAGGTCGTGCAAGAGAAGCACAAGGAGGAGCTCAACAAGATCGTCAATGACGGCTATAAGCAATTCCAGGACCTGTCCAAGTCCGGTCTGAGCATTCAGACGGCCTCCAAGGCCTACGAGACGCTGGCCGATATTGCCAAGAAAATTGCCGACCTCTCCGTCGACGCCCTCTCCGACATTCTAGACAACCACCCGCAGGTCAAGGAGAAGCTAGGCGGCAACGTTGACAAACTCAAGTCGCTCGGTGAACAGTACGGCCCCGACGCCAAAAAGCAGGTCGACGAGACCTGGGGCCAGATCAAGGATATCTTCGCGGGCGGCTTCAGCGCCGCCAACATTGCCAAGGCCAAGGCTCTCATCGACGATAAGGTCGGCCAGGTGCAGAAGCTCGGCGACGAGGCGTGGAACAAGGGCCTCGAGGCAGCCAAGCCCTACCTCGACAAGAGCCCCAAGGTCAAGGAGCTGGTTGAGAAGAATGCCGACGCGCTCAAGCAGGGCAATCTCAAGGAGCTGTTTGACAAGGCCAAGGCGGCTGTCGAATCGGGCGACCTCGGCGACCTGGAAAAGTACGTCAAGAGCGCCGCCGACAAGGCTCAGTCCAAGGGCAAAGAGGTGGCCGGTGATTGGGGCCTCGACAAGTACTTTGATGCGCTGCCCGAGGGAAGCGCCATCCTGTCCAAGCTGCAGCAGATTCGCAAGATTGCCAGCGATCACAAGCAGGATGGCGAGAAGCTTCTGAACGAGACGGTAGACGAGCTGAAGCAGTTGCTGGAGAAGAAGGCGAACAAGGCGCAGGAAATTGTCGACTCGGCTCAAAAGGATGTAAGCAAGGAAGGTGACAAGAAGAAATGAACGAAGCAACCCTCAGATAGAAGCTACTCAGCAGTAAATCAGTAAATACAGCATAGAAACTTAATTACAATATTTTCTTGATTGGACTTGGATTATTGGTGGTGTATACGTATTCGACTGGTATACTATTATATCGATACTACTACCATGCGAAACCAGTTCATCACTACTCGTTATTGATACGAACACTGAACTGAAACATTTCGTTGGAAGCCACCGCGTTGCGATCTCGTAGCTTTTCCGCCGTCTCCGTCCCGAGCACCGGAACTCGGTATTCTACGGAGGCATTGTCCGGCACGCCTGCCACGGGGTACGGGAAGGGCAGGTACTCGGGCATGAGGCCGAGCTGGCGCAGCGTCGTGCCCTGATCCCAAGAAATGTGCTCGTGGTACAGCCTATCGCCTCGTATATTGACCACTGAGACAAAGGGTAC